CACCTCTTATCAACAGGGTGCCTGAATGAAACATAATTGTACACCTAACCCTTAACTGTAGCCCACAAAATCATAATAAAAAATATTGATTAAAAAAAAATATTAGCCAGGCATGGTGGTGTACACCCGTAGTTCCAGCAACTTGGAAGGCTGAGGCGGAAGGATCACCTGAACCCAGCAGGTGAGCATGCCACTGCACTCCAACCTGGGAGACATAGTGAAATTCCAACTCAAAAACAAAATAAAACACATTTCTATTAAAACATATTTGTTCTTTTAAGGAGTACATGCACAATTCTTTTAGCCAAATCATGAAACTTCTAAGATATTTCAGGTTTAGGGTATGCAACTCTGGGCTACACTCCCAGACCCCATGGGGAGGAAAGGACTTCTCCTTTGCCCGTGCAGTACTTCTGAATGTCCGGGAAGCACCTGCACATGGGGCTTGAGTGTCACTGACTAGGAAAAAGTGACACTGGTGTGACACATGGAGACGTTACAGATGTCCTCATGTACACCCTGCATTTAAGACTGGCTCCCTGCACAGCCCTGAGTGGGCTGGCGGGAGCTCCTCCAGGCTCCCAGGATGTTCCTCTCAGGCCTGGTGACATCAACCTCAGATAGTCTCCTCTTCAGCTCCTATCTCTGACATCGTGGGTATGCTGAGCTCTCTCCTTGGTCAAGATAGGCAGGGTAGAGTAGCTTGGAGTAATGCACACCCAGAACCACACCTAACAACACACCTGGGTTTTCACGAAGAGTTAGTTTCAGGAGCAATCAAATGAAAAACAGCACTATTTTAGATATTTCCCATGATGCCACTGCATGCCCTTAAAGAAAGATGTGTGTCATACACTTATCTTAGAATTTGGTGTCTCTTTCAACAGGTTACCAGAGTGATGCAGTTCATCGCTTTTTGTCTTGGCTGCCAGGGGAGTCAGAGCTAACTGTGCAAGTCTGCAGCAGATCGCTCCCTGCCACACTGTGGGACTCTAGTTCATTCCACCTTTGTTCTAATAATTCTGCAGCCTCTCTCTCCTGGTGACCAGCTCTAGGCCTTTCACAAGAGGCCAAACTTTAATTAATAAGTTTATGAGTGTGTAATCTCACCTCTTCTTGAAACTCTCTCCTTCCTTAGCTCCTGTGACTCCATGGACATGTAGCTGCTGCTCCTCAACTGTAGACTCCTCCTCCTCTTTGCCTGATCCTGAACTGCTGGTGCCCTCATGATTCACTCCTCAGTCTTCCTCTCCACATCTGTGCTCTGGGCACCTTCATCTACTCCCAGATTTTTAACATCACCTTCAAGCTGATGTCTCCCAAACCTGCTCCTTAGGCCTGAGTCCATCCTGAGCTCCAGGCTCACGTATCTGTCTATCAGCGGATACTTTGTGTTCAACAGTCCCTCAGATCTGCCCCTCTACTGGTACTCTATTTCAGTTGGTAGAAACAGTTTGCAAATTATGCACACGTTACCTTGTGAATATTTTCAGCTTTCTCCCTCCCTTCCAAACCAGCTACTACAGGCCAGCTCCAAGCCTTCACCTTGGGGGCTACTGTACTGGCTCATATCTGGGCTCTCTGTCGCCTCCCTTAGGTCTGCCACCCCAACTCCACACTTCCACCAGACTGGCTGTGGCAAATGCGCCTGCATCACTCCCTTGCCTGAAACTCTCCTTGGCCACAAGAAAAGTCCAGGTTTCTGCATACTCTCCACGACCTGGACCCTGCCTGTCACCCACCCACATCTTCCCTTCCTTCATCCCAACACCATGCTCCATTGCTCAGAGGTCTCCACACGACACCCCATTTCCAGCCTCTGTGCTTTTGCTTAGGCTGTGCCCCCTGCCTGGGATGCCCCTTCCCTGCTGAGCTCTACCTGCTCTGTAAAACACAACTTCATCTTCACCTGTTGAGGTGAGAAGTTCTGGAATCTTTCCCCAGGGTGGGTTGTACCCTCAGATCCCTCTAAATGTTCCTGTCTCCTTACAAATCTGCCTTTCCATGGACTGAAGGTGTCTGATTCACTTGGGTTCCTATCATCCAACATGGTCTGGCACTCCAGGAGCCAAGCGACTGGATAGAGAAGTGCCCACTTCTTGATGCTACTCGAACCCTGGTAGGCAGGTGTGTCTGCCAGCCTGGACCCCAGGCAACCTTGGAGCATCCTGGCCACAGCTCTTGCTCACCAAGAACTGGACAACATCCTCGGGCTTGTGCTTGGCCGACTTGAACGCAGCCAGCCGGGTCACCACCAGGATCTGGTACTCCACGTGGCCAGACATCATCTTGCCCCGGACCTCCTGGTGCTGGGGCACGGTCAGGTCGAGGCCTGTGTGGACATTCTGAACTCGCCTGCCAGAGGAAAAGAAGGTAAATGAGGTTCAAGTTCAAGTTAGCAGGCTTCTCAAGGGAAATGTAGGCAGGACCTCAGTGTGGCCTGGCAGGCCTAGGTGCCAGGCATCTCTGCTGGCTGTCCTCAGGGGTCCTCGACGGCCACTGTTCCAGGCCACTTGTCCCGCCACATGCGACCCCTTCATAAAGCCTGGCTACCCAGGCCTCAGGCCTGGTCCTGCTTTTGGGTTGTTTAGGGAGAAAGAAAGGTCTGTTCCCAGCAGGAAAACAGGGAGGGAAGAGTTTGCTGAAAATCATTAACAGTGAAGTGTTTTGCACAAATTCAGTGTGTAGCACTGCTAATTGGTGAGGGTGGTATCCTGGGCGCTCTAGTCAGACCAAGAAAAGTGCCTGGGTTTATGTGGACAATGTGAGAATGAAACCTCACCAGGGGCCTGGAGAAGGCAGGAGAGCTGCTACAGGACATGAGGGCCCAGGCAGTAACAAGGCCACTCCCTCATCCCGGCAGTCAACACTTCCCTCTCTGGGTGCCGAGCTCTTGGAAAATGTTTAAATGCAATTGATATATTGAACTATATGGAAAGCAAAAAAGTGATGAGATGTTTTCTTTTTCTTTCTTTATTTTTTTTTTAAAGAGATAGTCTTCTCTGTCACCCAGGCTGGAGTGCAGTGGTGTACTCATATCTCACTTCAACCTCGAACTCCTGAGCTCAGGAGATCCTCCCTCCTTAGCCTCCTGAGTAACAGGGACTACAGAGGTATGCCACCATGTACAGATAACTTTATTATTAATTTTTGTAGAGACAGGGTCTTGCTAGGTTGCCCAGGTTGATCTTGAACTCCTGGTCTCAAGCGATCCTACCACCTTGGCTTAAAATGCTTTCTTTGAAGTGAAAAAAAGTTGTTAGGTATGTCCCTCATCCTACACAAGGGTAAGACACAGATCTTTGCAGACTAACGTCCCTCACACAAACACCTCTGGCAGGACAAGCTGGGCATGCTCTGATCAGCTCTCATCACCGAGGTGAGACGTAAGACCTACTGCGTGCCAAGCAGGACTTTGAGAACAGAAGAGCTGAGCCCTGGGCAGGGAGGGTCTTCTGGAGCTTAAACTGGGCTTGGGCAAGACCCTCCTCTCTCTGGAATTACATTCCAATTCATCAAAGGCCCTTACCCCTAGTACTTGTTCCACAGACTCTTCACATCCCATGCTAAGCAGGCAGCACCACCGCCAGCATGATGCCACTGTCACCAACTGGGTAGGCACACTGGAAAAGGGGGTGGACTCGTGATGGCAGTTCTCTGACCTCCTTATACTGTAGGTGTGCATACCCAGACACTGGGCACACCAGTACACATGAGGAACATTCTCCCATGGCATAAGGCACTCTGAGATGATGCAGGCCCAGGCTGACCCGCTTTCAGGGAGGCGGTTAAAAAATACAGCCAGAGCCACGTGGACACCGTGAGGTGCAAGAGCACACCAAACAAATCAGCCTCCTCTTCCACCAGGAGCCAGCAACTCAAGTCCAGATGACATGTGCTTGTGGCATGGAGCTGCAGTGTTACTGTCGCAGAAGGGAGAGGAAGGCAAGACTAGATGCTGAGGGGAGGCATGGTGGGCCCTGGGGACTTCAGTAGTGCTAAGTTACTTCCGCCTCCTGCAACCCTGCCAAGGAGCTCTATGACTTAAAATACAGAGAAGCAGGCCCAAAAGGGAGTTGCCTGCCCAAGGTCTCAGTGGGCATGAGGTGGAGCCAGGGCTCCATCCTGATCACTCCAGGGCCCAGGCGGCCTCTGGCAGGGTATGCGGAAGCAGCAAGCTGTTGTTTCCTCTGGGCATGACGAAAATGAAACACAGGTTGGTGGGAATGACAAGGCAGAGGTCACCTCAGCTGGAGGGAGGGCCTCTCAGGCAAGGGAAGGGGACAGAGGGACCCCGGACTGGTACCTCCCATGGTCCAGTTCCCTTACAGTGTCCCATGTCTGGCGGTTCTCCGACCACGTCAGAACCCACCATCACGAGTCCACCCCCTTTTCCAGAGTCCCATTCCATTGCTGAATCCCTCTGCCTCTGGCCTAAGCTCCCCTGACCTCTCGCCAGGACCTGTCGCCAGGACTGAACTGGTCTGGAAAAAGCCCCGCTGCTCCATTCTCTGCTACTTTTGCCCTGTGCTAGGCGGCCCAACGTGATTGGAGATAGACATGATACACACATGCCACGTGGTCCCACTGGAAACTCATGGCCACAGAACCATACCAGGCCTAGCAACCCTACTTTGCCTTAGACATGGGGTCTCAAAGTGTGGCCCCTGGACTAGCATCAGCATTGTCTGGAAACATGGGAGAAAGGCACAGTCAGGCCGCAGGGTGGCCGGCAACCTTCGTGTAGCAAGACCTCCAGAGATGTTGACCTGCCTGGGTCTACTCCAGTCACTCTGCCTCTCTCCTAAGCCCCCAGGAAAACTTTCACACAGGCCCAGCTAGCAAATATCACAGGCTTTACAGGCTGTCTGGTGTCTGTTGCAGCTACGTAGGACAACACACAAACAAATGCGAGTGTGCCGGGCAGGATTTGGCCCGCACTTGTGCCCTAGATCAAACTTCTCAAACCAAAATGTGCTTAAAAGTTTCCTGGGGGTCTTGTTAATAGGAAGATTCTGGGTCCAAAGGTTCAGGGTGGGGCCCAAGAGTATGTATTTTTAAGGAGCTCCCAGGGGATGCGGATGCTACTCCGGGGACCATCAGAGAACATCCTGGGCCTCACCATCATGCCTGCCAAATGGCCTGCATCTGCTCCCTGAGGCGCTGTCCCCCACCTGGGACAGTGAACACTCATCAGTATGCACTCACACTCTGGTCTCTTGGATTACAAAAGCTGTGCTTTGACCTCATATTTCCCTTGCTCTGTTTCTCTCTTTCTCTTGTGGGCAGGACTCCTCAAGAGTGGCCTATATTCACGGGTTCTTCTCTTCCTGTTTGATCTTGAACCCATTCCAACCAGACTTTAGTCCTCATCATGCAACAAACTGCCTGTGCCCAGGTTACCTGTGACCTTTGTGCTGTTAAATCCAAAGGTAAGTTCTCGCTTCTCCTCTTGCCTGACTCACCACTGCACTTGACACAGGGAGCTGCCCACTTCTCTCCTTGAAGCTCTGCCTTCATCGGCTGCGGGGACATCCACTTCCTTGAGGGTCTTCTCTGCCCTCCCGGCCACTCCTGCTCAGCTTCTTTGGATGGTTCCCCTGATCCTGCCCAGATCATCCTCCTTAGACCTGTTTCTCTCGTGCACCTCTCCTCAGGTGATCCCATCCAGGTTCAAGGCTTCAAATACCACTTATGGACCAGTGGTGCCCAAATTCCCCCCTTAAGCCTAGACTCACCCCTCAAAGTCAGCCTCCTGGGCTGTCAACAAGCTTCTCAGAATTCACGTCTAGACAAATGCTGAGCCCCACCTTCCCCCAAACCTGTTCTATTTAGTCTTCCCATCCCAGTAAAAAACCTTGACCTTTTCAGCATCTCAGGACAAAAAACATGCAATTAGTCCTGAATCTTCCCTTTTGTTCTCACAATCCATACCTAAGCATCTGCCAACCTGAAAGCTCAATCTTCAAAACAGATCTGGAACCCAAATATTTCTCCCAGCACCGCGACCACCATCACCCTGGGTCAAGCCTCCATCGGCTCTACAAGCGTGCCCTGAATGCTCCTCTCAGCCACAGTCCATGCTCAACCAGCAGCCAAAGGACCTCTGGAAAACACAAATCAGATTCCATCGCCACCCTGCCGATGGTGTGCCATTGCTCTCAGAATGAAATCCACCAGCCACATCAGAGCCTACAGGGCCTTTCTTAATATGTCCCTGCATCCACAGTGTCATGTGACACACTCCTGGGTCACTCCACTCCAGCCACAGGCCTCAGGACCTTGGCTCCTGCGACCTCTCCTCCGACTACACACTTTTTCAAGATTTATTTTTCATGACTCTTCCCCTCAGGAGAATTTTGGAATACAACTGGAAGTTGGGTTGGGTAACATTCATTTACGTAATAAATGGGCATCTTAGCCCAAGATTTTGTGTAGGGGGAACAAGGGTGGAGTATATGAAGATACTTGAGGTGAGTCATTTTCAGTTTTCAGCTTTGTAAAAGTTGGAGAGGTGGGTGAGGGGGTGACATGTCCCGCCCAACCTTTCCAGGATTCATGCTGGGCCGGGTCCTCCAGGCCCGGGTCCAGGCAAACCCACTCTGCATCCTCCCCGCGACCCCTCCGAGGCCTTTGCTATAATTTGAGCTTCTCCGGAGCTGCGCCTTGAGCAGCTGCCTCCTCTTCCTCATCCCTCCCCTCCACCTGGTTATGGACCACTCCTGCAGGACCCCACCTCACCACCTTCTCCCAGAAGCCAGGATTCCAGCCAGGCACTGTGTTCCCCTGGCAACGTGAATTTCCCCTACTGGAATCTCCTGCCCTCCCAAATCCCTGCAGGCCGAGAGCTTGTCTGATTCATCCCGCCCCCAGTGCCTAGCACCGGACCTGGGTGAGCGCTGAAAGGATGGAAGGCAGGGGAGCGCAGTCCCCTCACTGCGCGCCAGCACAGTGCCAGCCAGTCCCAGACTTCCCCTGGGTCTTGGGTGAGTTCTGCTCTTCACCCTCTAGGGAGCCTCAGTTTCCTCATCTGTACAGCCGGGACACGCCATGTGGGCCGCGCCACCCCTCCCGCAGGGCGGTGCAAGGGCCCAGTCCGGAGAAGCCACCGCGGACGCTAGGGAGACCCGCGCCGGGCCTCGGACCCTAGAGGGGCGGCCGCCTCCGCCGAGCGCTTCGGACTCGGAGCTGCGGCGCCGGGCCGGGGTCTGGC